GGGGACTAGCAGCTGCCTGGAGGCCAGAAGTGCTCAGCCTTGCTGGTCCAGCAGCAGCAAAGCTAAGCAGAGCACACAGCATTGCCCTGAGACTCTGGTCTCAGTCTCAGGGCTGCAGCCTTTGCTCCTGGCTGCTCTCACCCCCTCGGGGAGGGAAGGAAAACCCAGATGTTTTTGTCCTGGTTCTTTCCAGCTCAGCTCCCTGACCCAAGGGGCCGTTGCTTGATGTTAATCCCCCAGTATAAATGCAATTGCCTGGCCTGGGGCAACACGGGGCTGGGCAGGAGGAGCTGGGGTGGAAGGCAGGGCAGTGGCTCTTGCACCCACACCCTGGCTTCCAGCACCTCACCCAGGTCATGGTCGTGGTCCTTCCTTAATCTCTACATCCTTTGTCCTCCAGGGAGGGTGGAAATTCCCTTCACCCCTTCAGTTCCCACAAAGCCATCAGGGAAACAAGCCATCTGCCAGCCTGGAGGTGCAGGGAGTTTGGGAAACCTTGTCAGAGCATCCCCAGGAACACAAAGGGACCCTCTGGATTTCCAGCCCTGCACGTTCCAGGGAGCTGGAGCCTGACACCCCGGCCAGGATCCCTGCAGGGAGGGGTCGTGGATGGGTGGGTGGCACAGTGGGCACCCTGGACCTCACAGCAAGATGTGTCTGAGCCTCTCAGAGCCTGGGAAGGAGCGAGCCCACCCCGCAGGGTCATCCCCCCCTCCTCCCCAGCAGCCAGGGGGGGATTCAGCCCCTGCAGCCAGGCACGGGGTGTGTGTGTGTGGGGGGGTGTAAGTGCTGCTCATCGATTTTGCAGGGAAGCAGAGGTATTTTTAGCACTGCCCTGACACTGCTCCGTCCCCTGCTCTGCTTAGACTGCTGCTCCCCCCCCTGCTCTTTGCCTCCTCTTTGCTCCCCCACAGCCAGGCTCTGTCCCTTCCCCCTCTCAGATCACATCCCCGCAGCAATCTGGGCTTGGCTGGCACAGCTTTGACTCCAAACACTCGTCCTTAGGCCTTCAAAGGGTTTGCAGCAGTAAATTTGAAGGCTAGATTACTTATGCCTATCGTGGCGTTGTTTAAACAGCACTAGTTGGACCACTTCATCTGTAAGCATTTATGCAGGTCTCCAGCACACATCTCTGCACGACATTTATGAAGCTTTTGACATAGGCAAGAGGTGCCTGGAGCTGGCCAGGAGAAAACTGTTCCCCTCCCTCCTGGGGACCTACAGGATCTGCTTCTCCCCTCTCAAGCTTGCTTTTATTTTGCAGTTTTTCCTAGCTTTGAAAACAAAATCATACAGGTGAGTGACTGAGAGACATCCCTGTGGCTGGGTCAGAGACCAAGGTGGAGGCAGCGTGGGGAGGGGGATAATTCAGAGGCAAACACTGGCTGTGAGTCAGTAGCCAGGGAGCAGAACAGCCCTGGAAGGGGGAATCTGCAAAATTATCCATCACCAGTGGGTCCCAAAGCAGGGGGAGATGCTGCCTCTGTGACTGGGGTTTGTAGGGCAGAAGCTTTGGGGCTCTGGCTGTCGTGGCAGAGATGGGTGGCCAGGCAAGGCTGAGGGCAACAGGGAGCAGCTCTGTGCAAGGGATGTGCCTGGGATAGAACCAAACAGCACAAATCCTGCCCGGGCAGCACTTCCAGGGGGCAAAGAGGATGCACGTGGGGAGACTGCAGTACCTGGTGACACCCCCGGTCCCTGAAACCCCCCCAGCCCCTGTGCCAGCCCCCGGGGGGTGCTGTGCAGAGGGCAGTGGGTACTCACTGTCCAGGCAGGGCTCGCAGACTGTCTGGTTGACCCCGCAGGGCTGCACCACCCCCTCGCCCAGGTTGCAGGCTTTGCAGCACTCCCCGCTCGTCGTGTACATCTTGGTGGGGCACTTCTCCTTGGAGCCCCAGGCGGGTCCCTGGGAGAGAAAACAGAGCCCAGGGGTGACCCCTTTGTTAGGGGATCCTCCCTGCAGGGGCAGGTGTAGTGTGGTGCAGGGTCCTGCTGTGGGGTAGGGGTTAAGGGGGCTCGTGTTTGATACAGCTCTTGGGAGAAATGAGTTCCCTGTGCAAAACTCACCCCTCAGGGAAGCCCCTGCAAGTTTTACAGCTGGAGGGAGGTGAGGACAGTCTCCACAGCCCCAGCTGGTGGGTATTTTGGGGAGGGATGTGGGTTTTTCTGCAGTGTTAGTGTTGTCTGCTCCTGTCGCTCACCTGAGCTGTCTCCTCTAAGGATGCTTTGCTACCCTGAAGGGTTCAGCACTTCCCAGCCCAGGGGAAGGCAGAGCACTGCCCGTGGGCTGGCATCGAGGAGCCCTGCCTGCCATGGAGGCTCTGGAAAACTGGGGTGGCAGCTCTGCCCAGCGCCCTTGGTGTCTGGGGAGGGTCAGAAATCACCCCCCACCGTCGCAGCAAAGACTTTGAAGGGAGCACCCAGAGCTTCACCAACATTTACTGCCTGATGAAGTAAGTGTATCTGCTGATAAAACCTGTCATCACATCTGGAAGCAATGAACGTGCCAGGGGTGGTGGGGGCAGAGCCACCCTGCACGTCTGCAGCTTGGGGAGCAGGATGCAGGTCCCCAAAAAAGACCCTGTGGTGCGGGATGCTGAGATGCTCGAGGTGACCCGAGCTCTGCCGGGGCTCCTCTTGCACCCTCCGCTCCTCCGGTGCGTTTTAGGGTTAGCCCATCCCTTCGCCTTCCAACTAAGCCTGATTTTGGGGGGGTGACGGAGCTCGGCTGAGGCGTGGAGGAGTTTCCCCCCTCCCCGTGCAGCTGGCTGCCTCGTCAGCCCCTTGGCCGCCGCTTTGCACAATGCGGCGTTATGAACTCGCTGCGCATCATCCGGCAGCATCCGGCCCTCGGAGACAATGGAGCGCCAATTATAGGCATCTGAATGACAAAGTGCTCCAATTACCCTGCGCCTGAAAGCGTGTGCTCCCCTCCCCGGCGCTGCTTCCAGCTCTCTCCTCCTTGGCACAGCTTCGCCAGCCCAGCCTGGCAGCCAGCTCCAGTGCTGGGCTCCGGCTGGGTGGGGTGCGGTGAGGTGGGGGGGATTGCCAGCACCCCCAAATGACAGCTGGGAAGGGGGTTTGGGGGGGAGGAAGGGGCTGGATTTGGCTGAATGCCTCTCCTCTCCTCTGGACCCGGCTGGAGCTCACCCCACCGCCCCATCGCTGGCAGCATCTCTCCCCTGCTCGGCCGTGCC